TAATATATATATATATAATATATATATAATATATAATATATATATATATATATATATATATATATATTATATACACATCTGTCATGATTGTGGTCACTAAGGAGCTACAGCCCCTTAAAGTAAGCTTAAAATCCTTTTTTAGCCATGTTTCCTGGAAAATCAGGCATATTGCAACCAAATTCATGGTGAATAGTGAAACAAAATATTTTTCCTGAGCTTCTAATCATTTTCTTGACTTATCATAAGATTTTAACTAAGGACAGGACAAAGTGGTTCCTATACATTCCCTATGAATCTGAATACAGTGCAGGGGAACTCTGAAAGGAATGTACTCCTTCTCATGCACTAATATATCAACAATCTACAGGTTTTGTTACACAGATAACTTAAAAATTCCTGTTTAGTTACAGAACTCCTTTGGGTTATGAATGAGGGAGAAAGTTTCCTTAGCTTAAATCTTTTTTAGATATTTTGAGAACTAACAACAATAACTTGCACTTATGCATTTATTATTATTTTTTTTCTTGAAGTTACAGAACACATTAACCCACTTACGAAGGGTGTCCCACATATGACACACCTGAAAAAGTAAAATATTGCCGGGCGTCCCGCCGATGTGACGCCAGATCGGAGCTCGCGCTCTGATTTTGACACCCATAGCAGCCGGCACATGGGCAAGTTGCTGGGCTGGACCACACGCTGAATTTGAAGTCGCCACGAGAATATTATTTTTGGCTTATAAATGTACCATCACTAGTGGGTTAAAAGTAGGACTCTGATCTCGTCACAGGAATACCCACTGTGTTTAATTGATCAATTGCCTTTGCACCTCGATGGTTCTACAAGAAGAAGAAGAAGAAGAAGAAGAAGAAGAAGAAGAAAGGAAGGAAGATAGAAAGAAAGGAAGGAAGAGAGAAAGAAAGAAAGAAAATAAGAAAGAAAGAAAGAAAATAAGAAAGAAAGAAAGAAAATAAGAAAGAAAGAAAATAGAAAGAAATAAGAAAGAAAGATAGAAAAAGAAAATGAAAGAAAACTTTGGTTCAGGAAATAGACTCCCTCTGAAGGTAGATCAGTAGGTCTGCTCATCGACACCACATCACTCTAAACCCTGCCTCCCAGACTTAGATAATACTCTGGAACTCTGAATTCAAGATACAAATCTTTGTTTATTTCTTTACGTCTCAGTCAGAGGGCTGTCATTTTGATATCTTATATTGCTATTAGTAATGTTAATATTATCATCATTATGATGTCTATAATAATAATAACAGCAACGATACTGATAGCATTAGTAGAAAAACATTTTTCCCGAAACTGAATGAAAGGGGATCTACTAATTGACACTTTGGTGGCTAAGCCCTTGTGGAGCCATCTATGTGTAGAGACCATTCTCAAGTCAAAGCTACATTCAACACTGCATTTTCCCAGCGGCACTAGGTCCATCAGGTTGAACTGTTGAATGGAGATTGTTTTTGCTAAGGATAATTATAGACTTAGCTGTCTGGAGGAGAAAAATTTGTGGAAAAAACTAGACTTGGTTTTGAGTAGAATATGAAAAGCATCAGTATAATAACTTAAACTCTACTTAGAAATAATAAGATCACCTTTAATAACCCCACGTCAAAGATTCATAAAATATCAATTCTAACATTTCTGATAACAAACTTTCACTTATGCAAGTAATTCATAAATCTGTTGTCATAATACCAACAGCTTTTGTACCAACTTAGATGTATAATGTTTCTGTCAACTAATGATAATAAAATCTAATAAGCCAAACACTCAACAAAAAGAAGATAAGGGAAAAAAGAAGAATGAGTAGCTATACCATGATAATTTACTAACTTCAATCAACTATGCACAAGAATCACCACACTATAGACTACAGTGTTTATGTATGCATTAGACAACCACACCTTTAGTCTTGGTATAATACAAGAAATTCCATGAGTGCCAGTGTTGAAGTTTTTACTCGATTAAAAGACTGACGCCATTCTTCACAAAAAGTCCAATCACTGTATAGGCCTAAAAGAGACAGGGAAACAATTGTAACAGCAATATATGCAGTTCAAATCCAGAGGTTCAAAAAAATTAAGAAAAATCAACATATAATATGTATTTTATTTACAGAAACAGATAAATCCAATAGTGTTGTTTAGTTTTTTGGTTGGCATAGCATATTTTCTTTGCCCAAACTTTCACGAATTTTCATCATTAAGGTGTTACACAACTTTAGGCAATTACATTAGCTGGCAGATAATAACTTTTCAAAAAAATTCTTTTCATATTGTCTTTTTTAATTGTTGTAGGAAACTTTCCATGTGGAAAAGGTATATTTCCAAAGAAAAGAGAAGAGAAGAAGAAGAGGAGAGGAGAGGGAGGAGAGAGGAGGAGGGAGGAGAGGAGGAGGAGGAGGAGGAGGAGAGAGGAAGAGGAGGAATAAGTATAAGAATAAGAATGAAATGAATGAGAATGAAAAAGGAGAAGAAAGAGAAGAAGAAGAAGAAGAAGAAGAAGAAGAAGAAGAAGAAGAAGAAGAAGAAGGAGAGAAGAAGGAAGAAAAGGATAAGAAGAAAGAGAAGAAGGAAGAAAAGAAGAAAAAAAGACATCATATACTTTCAGCCAAACTAAATAGTTGGAGAAGCTACTCAAATGTCCTTTTGTGGGCTCTTACCTGACTTTGCAACCACTAAACAAAAGCCACTTAATATCTACATTTAAAAGTGCTGGAAACATCTGAGACGGTCAACAAAACTAACACGACCCTGATTTTTTTCTGTATTTTAACCAATTTTGTTGTCAACATATATAGTGTATAATTGCAAAGGTACATCATAAAGCTTTTCACCTTCATGATAGTGAAGTAACCTTCATTCTGGTGTTCATAAAGAGAGCGAGAAAAATGGTAAAAGATGACTTAGTATGACAGGAGACAATATGATAACACCTAGTTTCAAGAACAACTAAATTCACAAAAACTACTACTAAACCATCACCATTTACACGGATCACATATTAACTATACCTTTATCCTTGAGAGAGCTATTTGAAACTCCATCCATGTTCTGACAGATGCTGGTAATATTACCAAGGGAAAGTTTGTAGCACGATAAGTAGCAAATACAGAAAATCCCTGCAAGAATCATATAATGGTTTCTATATTCTAAATGTTACAAGAAATCCCCATTCACTCTATAATTGCTACCATGTTGTGTATTAGCAATGTATTCCCAAAAAAGAAATGGCTCATCCCATCCTGAATTATATCCTTCTTATTTTGTCTTGTTTGAGCTTAAAAGCTCAATATTTAGCAAAATATTTTTTCTTCTTTAACCCACCCGCGCTGGGGTACATTTTGTAGCCAAAATTTAAAAAATCCGGGAAGCTACAAAATCGGCGGGCGGAGCTTCCCAGAGTCTGTCCGCCGCCCGCCCGCCGCTTTTGCCGCGGAGCACGGCTCCGAGACAGCATCGCACTGGCGGCAGCCCGAAACTGTTTATTTTTCCTTGTGTCTCATATTATGTGACACCCGGGACGGATGGGTTAAGTCAGTGATACTGAAATGACTGCTTTGTCTCAATCTATGCCAAATGTTATTTCATGGCTTTAAGATCTTGACCATTTCAATTCCTGTATATTATTAGTAAGTCCCAATAATTAAATGAAATATTATCTGAAAGAATTGTCAAGCTATTAAATATACGGATTTAGCCTTAGGACTGATAATAATCTCCCTGAACTTGTAATGCCTCCCAATCTGGAGGCCAGAATCAATATCTGGCCCACTTCCAAGACTGGGCAACAAGAAAGATCCCACTGATGTAATGACAAGACTTTGGTATCTTCTTGACTCGAAAGATCAATAAAAATAATCATGGTAAAGAGGTCATTTGAAAAAGATCAGTTTCCTTTTCCATTTCCTTGAAATCTACTAAATAACAAACACATTTATATTTTTAGTTAATTTTAAATGTGTCAGCACATATTTGCTAGTCAAGTGATTAGCCTGAGCCCACCTCACCATGAATGTTGTCTCGACACTTCCTGTCATTTAACTACATTCTTTACAATGCACTAATCAGTGCTGAATAGTTGTGCATCATGCATTCTCGTGCAGAGATATAACCTTCAGAAGTTGACTGAAATTCTTACTTTATCATACTTTCACAAATAATGCCGCCAAGAGTGGGGATGCATGACAAACAATTAATAAAATCACCAAACTAGTACTGCATAATCTTAAAAATGATGGCTTGAGCATAGTGAGCCTTACTTTGGCCAATTCAGTGGTTTAGGTGGCCTAAATGCAACATGTTCACCAAGTAGAAAACAAAGAAACAAATAAATGAACACATACAATTTGATCCATATACCCACAGAGACATACACCTGCAAGCAAACACATATACGCATGTTTCCTACATACAGCTGACAACAAACCAGCTAAATCATATTGTTCCAAGTGCTGGATAACACAAGATAGCCACTAACCCATACCTTACAGTATTTCATTAAAACTGATAGATTATACCTGTCTAGTGGTATGATATCTAGAAGGTAAAAATCTTATTTTCATCTAAGTCCTACATAAGACACTATGGTTAGGCAACGCTACGCTATAGGTGGTCAAGTTTAAGGAAGTGAATCTTTTGTATACCTCAATGCTATAAATACACTCTTATTCCCATCTTTGTTAAAATCTATAGACTAATCAACCCTAATTAATCACAAATAACTACTTTTGTTTCTTTAGAACTTGACTCTTGTTTTCCCTGTTTTAGTCTTTTGTTACTTTTTTAAGATAACATTTCACATCATCATAACCCCTTGACTGAGATATCATTACACTGATCTGTTGTATCCCACACTAATCTTTGAGATGTGTAGTATGGTGTAAGCAAAGTTGAGTCCCATTGTTCTGTTTTCCACAATGCAGTGACAGCAGCCTAGAGCAAAAGAACACATGATGGATCACCACATGGAGAGCCCTGCACAACCAAAAGTATTGAGGGTAAACCTGAAGATTTATGAATTCATAAAATTTACCCTCGGGTGCTTGTGAAACATAAACATACTTACACTCACATACACACATGAACATACACATTTTTTTCACATTTCTCCCCCCCAAAAAAAGTTGAACTGACTTATCACCATATAAAAGCTATATATTCCAAGCAAACATTCTAAACACCAGAGCCATTAGTTGTTTTTCCCCCATTACAATAACAAGACATAGGAAGCAGCAATACACTCCGCCACAAAATAACTATGACAAACAGCATACCTTGCATCGCTCTAGTGAGATCTGTCCTTCCCGTATAGAGACTAGACAATATGTGATACAGTCCATTCCAAAGTGAATTTGGCCAGAAAGCCCTGAGAAGGACCATGCCTGAGATGAACAAAAAAAAAAAGAAAAAAAAAGAAAAAAGAAAGAAAAAAAAAAAAAAAAACACAAACAGAAAAGTTAACCAAGTTGTCGTGGTAACCTACAGGAAGTTGGCTAAAATGGTGTTAAACAGAAGGAGGAAGATCAGGAGGAGGAAGAAAGGTATAGAGAGAATGAGGGTATAGAAAGAATGAGGAGAAATAGATAAAAATATGATAAAAAAAAGAAAAAAGAGAGGGAGACGTGGAAGGAAAGGGAAAAGATGAGAGAAAGATAAACATAGAAAGAAAAAGATATAAAAAAACAGAAAGAAAACAATAGAAAGAAAAAGAGAGAAAGAAAATGTTCGAAAGAAAAATATAGAAAGAGAAAGAGAAGGATAAAAAGAGAAAGAGAAAGACAGCGAGAAAAGGAAACCGTGGGAAAGAAAAAAGGTAAAGAAAAAGGAGGAGAGGGGGGTTATGAGAAAGAGGAAAATAGAGAAAATGTGAGCCAACAGTCAACTCCCATGCATCCACAGGTTGACGAACACATATGCAAACACACACACATAAAACAATATAATATCTAATTGACTGTACCACGTGGTCAAGTTGAAATCCATTCTTTTCTAAAAATTTAAAAATTGAGTTGGGACATCCTATCCTCCTATCACCACATTTATTGTCCTTCATGGTATGCTCAGATTAATTCAAAACAAACATGACATCCTCTTAAAACAAGCAGCATTTTATTTGCAAATCATATCCAACATTACACCTGGACCTAAGAGCAAGTGTCATTTTTCCTTTTACAGATGACTGAAAGGTACTCTCAATATCTGGTGCACATATCAGTCTTGGAAGAAATGAAATTGAGTTGTAAAATCAGTATTTAGATAATGACTGTGAAATCAAACAAACTGCAAATCACATGTGTCATTTGCAATAAGGTCCACCAACATAATGGTGTTAATAACTCTTATGCACACATAATTATGCTTGACTCTAATCATTCATACTGTGGAACAGACCACAGCTAACCTGAATCCTTTTGATGGAACATCTTCCTTCCACTATTAGAAAAATGTATAAGAGATACGAGATGCCGTTTCTAATCACAGAGTTGCATATCATGAGAAGTGAGTGAGCCTGGAAGAAGTATGCAGAATAAATTTAATAGAAAAAAATATCAGATCTAACTATTTTGGGAAGTATTATAACCAGCTACTAGAGCCAAGAGTAACCTATTGTACTGAATAATTATGTACCTACAGTATAAGTAGCTGTTTTAGAAGAGTTTCAAAAATTGTAGCTTCAAATGGCAACAACATGCAGTCTCACCAGAGTTAAGCCTACATGCTGAAGAAAAAACAAAATATACCAGCACTCGTTTTGTGGAAATAGCTCTCCTTCAATAAGGAAGCGAATGCAGTAATGCAATGTACTCATTCCAACTGAAGGCTTGATGTTAGGGCAATGACTGACCAAGCCTAAAAGAGGTGAGACATTTATCACATATTCTTTCTTTTCAATATCCGTTTCAGGTTTGACCACTGCATATAAACACAACATGCTTACATATAGAAACATGTATAATACAGAAGAACTGTTCATACACATATATACTTTGCTTCTTTGCTCATAAGTTTGTTTCTGCAAGGAAACTTTTTTCATTTAAATAATATCTCTTAAAACTATATCCTCTGTAAATAGAAACCTGCCTTTTCATCTATTCAATTAATTTAATTATTCATATTACAGTATATTACATACAACAATACTAACTTTTTATCAAGAGAAAAAACATGTCAAAATTCTTCCTAAAATTCTATAACATTAAAAAAATCCAAAAGATGTCAGAACAAGCAAAACCATTTTCATGCAAATTACCTGCGCAGCTGTAAAGGTTATATCCAGCACCAATGTGAGCCAGAAAGGTAACAATGGCTGCAATCACGGGCACTGTGGGAGCCATGGCCAAACTGATGCTCTGAACATAGGCTGACTTTTCCAGCAGATGTCTCTCACGTTTTCGTATCTCTAAGAGAAATAGTCTTAAGGTAAAACTATTGTCCCTACTGAAAGTTTATTATCTTTTAACACAAATTCATTTCCTACTATAACAGATAAATGAATAGAAATGTTGTAACACTCACTATAATTCAGACTGTATTTTCTTGAGTAAATGGATATTCAAATTTTCCAACTATTTTTGAATACACCTTACATGCTATATTAACTTTTAGAAGTTATAAATGCAATGCAAGTCTACAGAATTAGCAACAAAACTTAGTGTGTCATTATTTGTATTAATGTTATACAAAAAATGATAGTATCATTGAAGGTGCAGTTGCATCCACAATTACATATGGATACCATTTACAATTGCAGATCAGTATCTATTGCTACAAAATTATGTAATTAAAACAAGTCTTCCCTGACATATTCTAAATTAAGACTATTTGGAGACTGGCAAGTTTGACAGAAACCAGAATTAGGTAAAATGGTAAATATTTTCAAGACATTATCAATCAAAATATAAATATATATCAACACTACAGAAAATATTCAAACACTCAAACAGTTTCATCTAATCAAACCTAAAGCCTCTTCAGCTGAGAAATATTTAGGTTAGCTCAAGTCACATTCTTGAATTGCATATTTGGATAAAAGAAAGAAAGTTCTGACTCACTGTTGGCACTGAGATCAAACCTAAGCAACTGAAAAATAAGCAAATCTACCTAATCAACTTATATCTGAAAGAAGCATTTCTTTCAGATATACTATACTGATCCCTAAGATTACTTAGAAAGTGCTATAGCTTCAAGTTTTCAAAAGAAAATTAGGATAGTCTTACCTGTAATACTAGAAGCAAAACTCTTCTCCCACGCATACATTTTGATAAGCTTGACACATGTCAACAATTCATTCATCATTCGAACTCGCTCATCAGTGACTGTTACTGTGCGGCGGCGTAGGTAACCAGTCAAACGAGAAATGCCATACTAGAACAAATGAGACATTTTTATTAACCACATGCCATGAGGGATGGCATGTGCATATGCCATGCCCACTGTGTGTTTACTATAGCAACTATTTTTACATATAGATGGCTCCATAATTACTATGTCACCAATAAGCTAGTAACGAGAACTACCTGTCTCATCTATTTACCCTTTTCCTTGATTTTCAATAAGATTTTCTAGTATTTGATATTGTTATTAGTAATGTTAATAACAATGTAGTAGTTATGTTTACAATAGACAGTATCAATAGTGATCGCATTAGTAAAAGAAAGGGGTTTTCCTGCAAACTCAGGGAAAGGTGAAATGAGGTGCGGTCACAAGGTCTACTAATTGACTCCTTTGTGGCTAAACACTAGCATAGACATTTCCTAAAACAATAGTAAAGTGAACAAAACATTTTCCTGGTGGCATTGGGTTAACATGATAGTATCATCAACCAATATCTAAGAATACTATTGAACTATAAATCACAATACATAAATATAAAAATCCAATCTCTTCTGCCAATAGCTGAGACCTTAGCCATCTATATATAAATACAATAAAAAAACAAAAAGACACAGTAGAAATGGTATATATTTTTGCCATTCTGTTAACATTGGATTAATAATGAGATTTCTATTTAGCCTAATTTGTAAAATAATTTAGAAAAAAAATATCTGGAATAATTAGTATTATGCCTGAGGAAAAGCTATATAAGAAAAGAAAAAGAAAAAGAAAAAAGAAAAGGAAATCATTATATATATCAAAGCCAGCTGGCCTGACATCAAGTGTTTGTACATGACCAAAATCTGTATCTTAATATTCTCGAACATATTCCCTGAAAAGGTTCTCCATGCCTAAGCAGCTTGCAGAAGCTGTAATTTAAGTGATATTGTTCAACTTAACTTTGGCTGAATACATGATAAATGTTTTCCATAATCTCAAAAGATTTTCTTAGAAATGTGTTAATAAATGTGGGAGTGATATTGTATGGCAAGTCTGTGTTAAGTAAAAGGAGAGTCTAGCCAGAGAAGAAATAGTGTTAAGAATGGATAATGATCCTTTAAAAAATTATCTGAAGGTGTATAATGATCTAAATAACATTTATATACACAAAATAGCTATTGCCCTGTTTCATTTACAATTCTCAATGATCAGGAGTATTTCAATTAATAAAAAGGTAAAATAGCCTGCTGTTGTTACTCAGTAATACAATTATTACTGACCATGACTTCAGCTTCTAGCAAAGAGAAAGATTATTACTTATTTGCCAAGTTATAAAATCTTACCTGAAAAGGATAGAAGAGCAGGAAGGTCAACATTCCAAACAATGCCCAGGGTCCTAACAGCCACAAGATGTAAATGACCCCTCCAATTGCCACAACAGGTCCTCCAATAATAAGAGGACCCAACACAACAAAGTCATATATACGCTGAGCATCATTAGCAAATAGATTTATCACCTGCAAGAAAAAAGTTGGCTTATTAATATAAATACATCAAAAGGCATGAAATATGCATGAAAATGAAACATCTTGTCTGAAAAGTCAGCCAAGTGTTCAAAAAATACATACAGAATACAATATGGAGAAAATTCAGCTTTCCACAGAAATACTTATGATGTTTTGCAAAAGAGCCATGACTTCTCCTAGCAAATGTTACTTTTCACCTGTCTTTAAAATAAATGAATATTTGGCCAAAGCTCAAAGGAGGTTGAAAACAAAGAATAGTGATCAATGAAGTGTATGGAAACATGATCAACAGAGATGTTCCCTGAAAGTGACAATGGGTAAAACAAGATGAAGGAAGAAATTCATAAATGCAGTAGGTTCAAAGTCACAAGGCAGCCATACAATTTATGTCTTTTGTGCCGTGAACAGGATCAAATGGTACTACATTTTCCAAAGGAGGCATCTTAGGAATGAAAATGCCCAATGAGTTGTTGCAGAGAATGGAGAAGATTTTTACAGTGAGGGTAAAGAAGCTTTAGGCAGACCAGGAGGACACTGGATGCGAAGATGCTTCAAAGTTCCTGGCTAGTTCAGGTCAAATAAAAGGCCTGCATTATCCCAAGCCAAGGATGTGCAGTGAGAGGAACTCTGCTTAGGCCTGAAAAGCCTGAGTGTACCTGAGCACTGAGTCCTGACAAGAGGAGAACTGGAGTCACACGTTAGGCACGACCAATGGCCTGGGTATGCCAATACTCATGGCAGATGTCTAATGGGACCTTTCAGAAGTGCATTGTAGAGGATGGAGACATCTCTAAAAGTTCTACATGACCTGTAATATTGTCTCCTTGGATGTTATTGCCCAATTTATATATGTTAATTTAGTCTGTACATGTATATACATGAATCATTTCTAGTGTGTATCAGTTTTGGATAAAGCAACTCAAGTATGACATTCTAATGCTATTAACCCAACATTGACAGGATGGGAAAAATACATGCCATGTCCACTGTCTTTTTGTTTCATGATTGTCTTTAGACATAGATGGCTCTACAAGCACTTAATCACCAAAGAGGCAGTAACCAGTACCATCTAGGTTACCGGTTTACCTTTTCCTTGATCTTTGGATAGTTTTTTTTTTGTGTGTGTGTGTATGTGGGGGCTATTGGTATTATTAATAACATAGATTTCTCTAATGAAAACTCAAGGAAAGGGGAAATCAGCTTAGGATACATAGGCTTACTAATTGGTTCCTTAGCAGCTGAGCACTTGTGGAGACATCCATGTGCAAATAAATTTTACAAAAGAAAATGACACTAGGCAAGTGTGATTACCTGGCACAATTGGGTTACAGATATGGATGAAAAATGACAGTACCCAACTACATATTTGACATTTTGAAAATAATGCAATCTAAAATGGCATAAACTTTATAGATAATTTTCTACTCACTTCTCCTATGCTTTTATTCCCAAGACTGGACATTCTCATAAGCTTCTTGTAGACTAAGCCAAGGCATGCTGCTCTCAGTCGAACCCCTGTCCTGCAGACAAAAGTACAAACCTGTTCATCAACTTCCCGTTTCTGTTCATCTAAATCCTCAATATCAATCTCTATCACAAAAATCTTCTACATCAATTCTGTTTTCAAATTTTGAGAGAGACTAGGCCACCATGAATATATAATTCTCTATAACAAAGTGTCTTGATAAGATTTTTACACAAAATGGTTAAAACATGTATTTCTAACTGATTCAGTAAATATATACTTCCTCAAATCAAATTTACTTTAAACTGTTGGAGGCTGTCGAGATGACAAATGAGTCACAGCAAAGTACTTATGACTGGTATGCTATCAGTAGGTAATTATGTATCTATGAAAGGTAAAAATATAACTAATGACAACCATCATCAGCAGAAAATAAACTACAGAAATAAATATGTTTCTATATGGAGTAAAAACAAATAAGAAGACATATAAATGAGTCTGTATTACTTCACTGGGCAACAAATATGTTTTCCTTAAATCTTAAAACTATTTCCAATTCTGACATGTTCAATTGCGAGAGAGAGGCGAGGGGAGAGAGGCGAGACAGAAAGAGAGAGGAGAGACAGAGACAGAGAGCAAGAGAGAGACAGAGACAGAGAGAGGAGAGACAGAGAGAGGAAAGACAGAGAGCAAGAGAGACAGAGACAGACAGATAGACAGACAGCCGGAGAGAGAGAGAGAGAGAGAGAGAGAGAGAGAGAGAGAGAGAGAGAAGAGAGAGAGAAGAGAGAGAAGAG